CAATATGTGTGAGATCTCCTACTCGCTATCACATAGCATAAGCATAGCACCCACGAGTCTAATCACATATAGTCAATGTCCATTCTTAACAATGCTACGACTTAGGACATTTAATGATATCATTTATATGCATTAGTGTTTATCTTACATCTTTTCATCAATCATTAATGTAAATGCATATCATATGGACTTCTATCTAATTCTATTCAATCAATAAATATAAATGACAAGAATTAATAGAAATATTTCTTTATGATAAATCATGCAATGATACAATAGCTCAAATCCATCAAAACATTGTTGGATCTTGGGCAATACACTAACATGTTATAGGATTGATAATAAGCATACATGTAACCATTTTGTGGATGCGTCAATTAAAACTACAAAATATCTAAATACTCTATATAGTGGATGAACTTGAATACGTTTTAAAATTACTAAAATTTTAATTTCAATTTTACTTAGTAATGACTTAATAATCATTTTGCCTTGAGAACATCCGAAACATAAAAATTCATTAAATTGAAAACTCTTCTGTCTCTTTAATAGATTTTCATATAAATTTTCAATAATTTTTGCATCATAAAGGGCTTTGGATAGTCTAACCGGTCATGACATGTAATAAAAATATTTGAATAGTAAACTTTTAGTTTACTATAGTATTTGTTTCAATCATAAGAATGCTTATATAATAAAGATCCAAAGAAATATATTTATAGAACTTTGGAGTGAATGATATGTCATTTATAATAAAATTTTTTCCATTCGGGTAATAATATATTTATCCTTCTAGAGCCTTCAAAATTTGTCCCTTCAAATAATAATATATTATGTCTTCTAGAGCCTTCAATTTTTTTCTTTAAGTAATAATATATTTACTCTTCTATAGCCTTCAAAATTTATCTCTTCGAGATAATAATATATTCGCTCTTCTAGAGCTTTCTATTATATTGATATGATCAGATATAGTATTAACATAAAATAAATAATTAAATAAACACAAATATATATATATATATATATATATATATATATATATATATATATATATATATATATATATATATATATATATATATATATATAGCAAAATAAATTTGTAACTATCAATATACAATAGAAATTATAAGAAAATATAAAATATCGTATTTATGAATAAAAAATCTAACAAGTTATTAATTTCAATTATCATCATTTTAATAAATAAAATTGACATCTATATTTTACACTCTTTTTTAACGAGACTTGATATACGATAAGTACGTGACCAATGTCACTTCATGCCACTTCTATAACATTTATTTTCAAAATATTGAATTGATACACATATATATAGTTTATCCATTTCCGGTAGTAAAATGTATTATTATGATCATTATGATTATAACGATAATTATTCTGATCACGACTATAGTTATGTCTACATCCATGGCACAACCACATATTCGTCCATATCCATAATTATTATAAGTTATCACATTCACTTTAGGGAATGGAGTAGACTTAGTTAGACGGGATTCATAATTTTTTTTTCAATAGCTTGTTATTGTGTTTAGCCACAAGCAAACATGAAATTGATTTATAATATTTTTTTTGTTTTAAAAAAAAATTTATACTCCTATTGCATGAGTATATTCGAGGTATAAAAAGTAGAGAATATTTTCTCGACATCAAGTACCCATAATCAATAATTCTTGTCCAAAATATCAAGAGTCACAAAAATCAAATTTTCTAAGATTTAATATGATAAAAATTCTATGATGCAAGATATAATAATAATGTTAGAAAATAAGAACAAACATAATAATAAAATTTAAAATTTTTAAACAACATAGATTAAATCATTAGATTCTATGTATTAGGTCATTTAAGTTTTTCGAAAATATACTTTATGTACCATTAGATTTAAAATAAAAAATAAATTAGATACATACCTCATAAAGATCTAAATAATTTAAATCTTTTGATAAAGCACTCGTGTTAAGAAATAATCTAATGATTAAAACTCATTATTGAGTTTTTTGGTACATACATACATCATGATCTATTTTCTTAGTTGATTAGAGTTTTATACTAATAATGTGTTGAAAAATAATGATAACGGTAAAATTTTGTTATGATAACAATAAAAGAATTAGAAGAAAAGATGATAAGAAAATAATTTCACTATGAAATAAAGTAAATACAAGTGATACCAACTCAAAACAATTCCCCCAATCTCTAGAAAACAAAAAAATCTTAACAACTAATGAATAACCAATTAATTATTTTTCTTTTTATATTTTTATTTCAATTATATTAACTATCTGCAGCATTGTGATTGAAAAATAAACATATCCTTATACTAGAGGTTTTCTAAATAAATCTCTTTTTTTTTTCAATTTCAAAATTTAATTATATTGTGATTTGATCTCATTTTATTTTAGTATTTTTTATTAATTATTTTTATTGTTTAAAATTTACTAATTTAATTTATTATTTTTTTAAATTCTCATTCATTTAATTTAAAATTATATTTACTAACGAGTTTTGATTTATTTTTCTATATGTATAGATTTTGGAATAAATTTTTAGAACATAATTATTTTTTCTTTTGAAAAATAGATTTAGATTATTTTTAAATTATAGTGGCATGATTACTATATATAATTTGTCTAAAATATACTTTTAGATTAAAAGTATATTTTAAATAATTTTTCTTAGTTTTTTTTATATTATTTAAAATTTACTACATTGATTTGTCATTTTTTTTTTAAATTCTCTTCTTCTTTTTTTCCAATTTCAAACTTTGATTATATTTTGATTTTGTCCAATTTTGTTTTAGTGTTTTTTATTAATTATTTTTATTATTTAAAATTTACTACTTTAATTATTCTTTTTTTATTTAATTCTCATCTAATTAATTTAAAATTATATTTACTAACAGTTTTGATTTATTTTTCTATATGTATGGATTTTGAAATAAAGTTTTAGAACATGATTATAATTTTTTTTGAAAAATAGATTTACATACTTTTTAAATTATAGTTGAATGATTAATATATATAATTTGTCTCGAAATACATTTTTGGATTAAAAGTTTTTTTCAAATAATTTTTTCTCAATTTTTTTATTATTTAAAATTTACTACATTAAATTGTCAATTTTTTTTTTAATTCTCTCTTCTTCTTTTTCTTTTTTTCAATTTCAAACTTTGATTATATTATGATTTCGTCCCATTTTTTTTAGTATTTTTTGTTAATTATTTTTATTATTTAAAATTTACTACTTTATGTCTTTTTTTTTTAAATTCTCGTCCAATTAATTTAAAATTATATTTACTAATAGTTTTGATTTATTTTTCTACATGTATGGATTTTGGAACAAATTTTTAGAATATGATTATTTTTTCTTTTGAAAAATAGATTTAGATAACTTTTAAATTATAGTGGCATGATTAATATATATAATTTGTCTAAAATACATTTTTAGATCAAAAGTATATTTCAAATAATGTTTTCTCAGTTTTTTTTCTAGAAAAAAAACTCAAATTAATTAATTAATAGTTGAAAGTCAAATGTAAAAAATAAAAAAAAGATGGTTGCTCTATGCATAAGACCTATATTCAAGGGCTAGCCATACATAACATAGAAATAAAAAAAATGTTTAAGAAGGAGGGAAAAAAAGAAAAAGAAAAAGAATTCACATGTTTATTAATTTGTTTCTTCTTTATAGAATCAAAATTATTTGAAATAAGATTTGTAATAATTTTTATTTTAGTCCATTAGCTTCAAATTTAGTCAATATATTTCTCGTAAATTAACTTTTTATAGTATTTTTTGTTTTAAATTGAAAACTCTAAACTCACTTATTATAATTATGATGTATAAAAAAATATTGAATCATTGTTTTTTTAGAAATCAACTGTGCAACTACTACTACACTAAACATTTACTATTTATTTATTTGTTTTTTAATATTTTAAAATTAACTTATTTTAAATTAAAAATAATGTTTTAGCTTAACCACTCAATGATTCAAATTAATATATTTTTTATTTTAATATTATTCATTCTTTTCATCAACATTAAATTAAAAAAATATTTGTTCAATAATATGTAAGCTTTTAATAATTGTTATTTATGTTTTTCGATACAATCTTATGAAATGCTAAAATGTTTTTTAAAAAAATTATTTAATTTTCTTTTTAGTTAATGATCCATAGATTAACAAGGATGAATTTTCTTTCTAAAAGAAAAATTATGAAAACATAAATAAGAAATAGTTAAATATAAAATTTTTAATTAAATAATTTTTTACATCTTTGATTTCATATATTTTTATATATTCACAATATAAAACATACAATCAAATTCAAATAAATTGTTAAATAATTTTATATATTTTAAGTAACTCGTAATATAGCGCATAAAAAAAACTAATCGAAGCACTAAATTATGATTTACTCATCTGTGACTAACTAGAAGGTCATTTAACATAGGATTTAGTTGCGAAATCGAAAACGAAAAGAAAAATAAAAATAAAATTGCAAGATTGTAATTTATGACTACCCAGAAGGTCATTTAACATAAATGTCACGCCAAAATCACTCTGCTAGGCGGTTTTAGCTTTTTGGAAAAACTTTACGCACAGGTGCGTTACGCACACTCGAGCTGCATTAAAAGCCTCTACACAGTTCATTGTCCCAATCATAACCCTCCACGTCACACAGTTTCATAACCCACTTGTCACCTAAGAAACCCTTGTGTGGTCCCCACACCATAATCTACGGTCGATTAGTCTAATCACGATTTCCAAATTTTACCTTAGTCTCTCTCACCGTCTGATCATGCACTTCAAAAAAGAAAACAAACGGGACCCACAAAAAGTTGATTTTCTCTTTGTCTGTTAGCCAGTAGATGGATTGTAACCGTCACTCTATAAAAACCAGTCCTATACTTCTAATTTATTACACAATTTCTTCCTCTCTTGCTTTTGAGAATTGGACAGACAAAAACATGTGTGGAGGTGCCATAATTTCCGATTTTGTTGCTGTTAAGCGTGGCCGGAGATTGGCAGCTGAGGATCTCTGGTCCGAACTTGACGCCTTCTCTGATTTTCTTGGATTTGATTATCACCCTGATAACAATAATGGTGATAGCAAAAAAGAACTATCAAATCTCAAGCTCCCTCGAAAGCCAAGCCAGCCCAACCAAGGTAACAATATCTTCTTCTTCTTTTTTTCTGCGTCTTCTTTAAATACGATCTGCTTAGTTTTTCTGGGTTGCGGGTATCTTTTGAATTTATGAAAAAAAAAATAGTCTGTCCTTTTGCCTGTAGATAGTGTTAGTGCAAAATTTTGATTTATGTCTTTGGTGTAATATCAAGATATCTTATAAACATGGGCTAGTTAGGTTTATCTTGGATACTTGGCTAGCTTGTATCATTTAAAAATTTTTAAATGATTTTTATGTAGTGATTACCAAGAAAGTTGAGAATCCAAGCCCAGCCACAGAGGAAAAAGCTGGTCACAAGAAGGCTCAAAGAACCAGAAAAAATGTGTATAGAGGAATAAGGCAAAGGCCATGGGGCAAATGGGCAGCTGAAATAAGAGACCCACACAAAGGTGTTAGAGTTTGGCTGGGCACATACAACACAGCTGAGGAAGCCGCTAAAGCCTATGATGAAGCCGCCAAGCGCATCCGTGGTGATAAAGCCAAGCTCAACTTCCCCTCTCAGCCACCACCAATTTCGGAGGCGCCACCACCTTCCAAGAAACGTTGCATCTTGGCTCCTGAAACGGCTGCTGTGGCTAGTTCCGGAACACCACCACCACCTCAAGAGTCATATTATGGATATCAAAACAAAGATTATGAGCTGAAAGAGCAAATCTTGAACTTGGAGTCGTTTCTTGGACTGGAACCAGACCAGATGGCGGCTCAGCTGGGTGGCAATGGTGTTGGAAGTGGTGGGGATAACTGTGACTCTGTGGACCTTTGGATGCTTGATGATCTTGTGACACATCATCAGTACCAACGTCAGCTTATTTATTAGTAAAATAATTAACACTAATTTGGCCAGTGATGCATGCATGTTCACTGTTTAAATTACTTCTTTTGGTGTTTATTTACTAGTAAAGGAGAGAGAGACTGTTATATTAATGTCTGTGTTTAATGTTTAATTAGGTTTTGGTGCTTCGGTCATTATCGTACATAGGTGTGTAATAGAGTAGGAGAATAAAGCGTTGTAGTTGCATGCACTTAATATTGCTTCGTCTGTTTTATTGTCTTCTTTCTTTTTTTTCTTTTTTTTCAAATAAAAACTTTCGATTGTGCCCGATGTCGGTCCATGTGTTTTTGTGTGCGTACTCGATTAGTCTTATATATCTTTTGAATTAAGTGTTGATTAGCTAGTCGCACTTTCTATAATGCCTTGGATTTTATTTTAAAGTTTCCCTTTTGCATTACTACTCCATTAGTTATTGAAAGATCTAGTCCGACCAATAGGTACCTTATTTTTCAGTAGTTATTAGCTAGATTTAATTGATCATTATCTAATATCATGGATTAAGTAAATGAAATTCTAATGTATCATAAATATTATTTGTCCACGGCATCAATTTTAAGGCATCAGTTTGGTATGAGGTTAAGAAGTGAAGGTTAATTGTTATAAGGGTACTTTAGTATAAAAATTGATTTGCAAGAACTTTTGGGTTTTCCATAAATTGAAAGGTAAATTATTACCAAAAAAAATTAATTTTTTTAATTAATTGTAATGATTAGAGAGAGGAGAGAGAGAGAAACACAAAGAAAAAATGAAATGAAAGGACAGATTTTACTCTTTATGTCCACTTTTTAGCATTTGGGAAGTGAATATACTTCTAACACAACCACGGTAAAATTTACACTAATAATAAAAGGATTTATATTTAATAGCGGCATCGTAATTTTAGAATAAAATAATTAATAATGTATCGATGTAGAAAATTTTATAATTTAATAATTATTCTACTTTTATGATTCCGGCTATTTATAGTATTAAGTATTAAAAAATAATATAAATTATATTTTAGAGTTTCACATAACATATTAAATTTTTAAATTTTTAAGTTAAGATAATTATTTGATATTATTGATTAAATAATCGAAAGTTTAAATTTTATCATTTTTTATTTTTTCTTCTAATTAAATTAAATAATTAAATAGGATTTTCATTTGAAATTGTATGTTAGAAAGTAATAAAAATCATATATCAAGCCGGATTTTCATTCGATGATTTTTTAACATAGTATTAGAGCTTTACTAATTAAGAGATCATGAGTTTGAATCATGTCATCTTATTTAAATATTCTAGATATAATTTAATCTTAATTATCTAATTTAATATAAAAATTTATTGATATGACAGTATTAATAAATATATCTACATATTAGGTTGATATATCTAACTATTTGAAATATATTATATTAAATTTTTTATTATCACATGTAAATGCCATCCTAAATTGTATTTGACATGGATATTGTAACATTGCGCAGACAGACTATTTTTTATTTAAGATGGCTATTGAAGATTGATTGATTAACAAGTTAAAGTTGTGTTACAAGCAAGCAACAACTAGAAGAGGCACGCATCCTCTTGTTTTATAATATACCCAAATAACTTTTATTTTTGTGATTAGATGTTTTGAGATATAAAACAAAGTGAAATGAGTTTTTTTTTTCTGAATAATTATTAAAGCTAAAACTTTTTTGTTTTTTTTTGAAAGTTGATGAGTCGTGGAATGACTCGTCTAGTAAAATTAAAAAATATGGCTAACATAAACGAGTGTTGATGGTTGGGAGATTGCTAAAATTAGTAGATGATTCATGCACATAACATACCTATAAAACAAGTTTTTTTGGTTGGGTGAGGGTCTTTTAGACGATCAAGTTAGTGGCTAAAAGGTGACGGACGGACTCGAAAAGACAATTTTGGATAAAGTTATTGGCCTATAAAAGAAAATTGTGTAAGGTATAGAGCCTATCTTGGAATTGTTTTAGAACGAGAAACGGGAACCTTTTACTCTATGGCGGTTTGGCCTCTATATAAATTGTCGTAGGTGCAACTTGTCCGGTGAAAAGACAGGAATGTTCTTTTCTTTTGGCGTTTGTAATTGAACCGACAATTGATGTTGCTTGCTATCATTGTCTTTGATCTATGATAGTGTTAGTATTTATCATGATGAGTGGAATATGATTAATGTCATCATTGAAGAATCTTCGTTAAATGTTTTGTCTTCCTAATTATAGTGGAAAAGAGTGTTTTCTTCTTTTCTCGAGCCAAGGTAATCTAGGATAAAAAGGTTTTGAACTTTTCTTAGAGGGCGGTATGCTTTATAGGGGGTAGCCATCTTTTGAGAACTTTGGACCCGTTTGATGGATTGTTGCCTTATTCTATGCCTTATGGATTGAGTAAGGCTCAACGGATTCGGCGTTTTGTGTTATGGGCTTTTTTGTTAGATTGCATTAGGATGAGGCTTATAAGCCTATCCCATCATTAGTTCTTCCTAAGTTTTGACTAGCTTGCTTCGAATTCGTCGTTTTTAGTAAAGGAAGGGTAATCATCCGCACGTTAGGCGCCTTTGTTGTCTTGAAAAGCTACATCTCTTATGTATCCAAGAAGGATAATGATTGTTCTTATTAAAAAAAATATGCACCCAATTTACTATCATATGTTATTTTTTTTGCATCGATATGAGGATGTCTTTTGGGTCCGATGCATTATGATTAAGGAAGGATGCCTCTTTTTGTCAATAAATAAGCCTTGTTAAAGGAGTTTTTCCTATACTTTTATAGGCTTTACACTTCTCTAGAGAAGAATTTTGGCAAGTCATTTGATTTTTCTTTGAGCTTTATAGAGAGATCTTCTTGTTTTTCTTCTAGTTCTTATTTTCTTTATCTTTACCTTAAGAGCATTTCTTCTCAATTGGATGCTTCTTCGAGGCATTTCTTGCCTCATATATACTTATATGGGATGTAATATTTTATCTTTTTCCTTACTCTTTTCTTTTCATCTAATACAAAAATGAGTAACTTAGAGAGAGTTGAAGGTACATCTAAAGTTGTCCTTCGTAGAAGGTATATGAAGAGGTGCTAGCTCGATTGTAATCGAGTCATTTCCTTTTTGAGATTAGCCTATAGGTGCATCTTCTTTTACTATAAGAGGTCTGATTTGTGTGTCTAGAGAAAGGCGGAGTTGCTCGTTGTTGTTTATTAAAAGAGTTTTCTTTTGATTCTAGCCCATTCTAATGATAGGATGAACAAACCTCTTTTGGTATGGTCGAAGAAACTTTGATATTATTGTCCTTACATACATGCTAGAGTACGAGTTCATTTTTCCTTTGATCGGCTTTACGAGTAGAGGTGTTTGATCATTTTTGCCAAAGTTCGACCTATATTCACCCAAATAATTAGGCTATTTTGACTATTTTTGACTATTTATGTTGAAGTCTTGTTAATGTAGATGCCCAAGATCCAATCTTATTTAAATAGGTTTGATTTCTTCTAATATTGCATTATTTATTTTATTAATAAAAGAATCTTTCTATTAATTCTTATTTTTTATATTTATTAAATAGAATTAAACGAAGTCCATATGATATGTATTGAATTAATGATTAATCGAAAGATGTGAGATAAATATTAATACACCGAAATGATATCATTAAATATTTCAAGTTGTAGCATTACCGAGAATGGACATTGACTATATGCGATAATAAAAGAATCTTTCTATTAATTCTTATTGTTTATATTTATTAAATAGAATTAAACGAAGTCCATATGATATGTATTGAATTAATGATTGATTAAAATATGTGAGATAAATATTAATACACTAAAATGATATCATTAAATGTTTCAAGTTGTAGCATTACCGAGAATAGACATTGACTATATGTGATAAGACCCGGGAGTGCTATACTCATGCTATAAGATAGCAATAAGAGATCTCACAACTATTGGCATGGTGATGCTAAAGTAAGCACTTGAGTGATTGATGTTAGAGAATATATTACCTGGACTTGACTCGTCATGAAAACCTATTTGGTTTAATCTATGAGAGTCTCATATGAAATAGGTATAACCGGTCCTTTGACTTGAAGTCATCACGATTATCTTATTAGAGGATTTATATAATTTGACACTCGTTTTGATAGACCCTAAAGGGTTACATATAAATGATTCGTTAGGTGCACTAAAAATCTAATAGAGATAAGTGGATGACCAAAATAGGACAAATCATTCCTTATATGCTAAAAAAGTTATCACATTGCACTTTAATAAATTTCTTCTCAAGAAATCCGTGTCTACATTAGTAGTACACTAATACAAGCATAGTTCGTTTACTCTAAGAGCTAAGATATTTGAGAATCGAAGAAAAATTATGTGATCATAATCGAATAGACTAATAACCAAGTTCGAGGTCACACTCGTGATAAATTAACATAAGAACCGAATTCTATAGTAACCATGCTCGTGAAAGATAACTCGCGGATTAATTAATCATTTTAGAAAATTGGATAGTCATGATACATTGTTAGAGGCCAATCTTAATTTATGTATCAAGAGATAAAAGAGGAGTTTTTTATTCTTGATACATTACCAACATATCTTGAAACATATTGAGTCATACGTATAAATTTAAGCATTCATATAATAAAAAAGAAGTAAAGATTTTGAAAAAAGTTTTCAATTTTAAAAGTTTTCTAAAATGAAAATTTTTCTAAAATAAAATTTTCTTAAAATAGAAAGTTTTCTATTTTAGAAATCAGTATCCTAATTTCAAAGTTAGTTCCAAATTTGAAAATAAGTTACCTAAAAGAAAAATTAATTTTCTAATTTAGCTTTAAGGATAATTTAAAAAATTGTTTCGTGATGTGGGCCTCCTAAAAATATCTAACCCAATATATTTGGATAGTCCAAATTAGTAATTAATTAGGTTAAAAAGTTTGGGTTAATAAGTTTAATTTAAAATCCTATAAAATATTTTAGTGAAAGGATAAACATGAA